ATAGATAGATAGATAGATAGATAGATAGATAGATAGATAGATAGATATCAAAGTGAAACTGCAGTTTGCATTTATCTTCATGTCATTTCCTTCTGTGTGGATCATTTCCTTGTCTTCCTGGTACAAAAGAAGAGGAGGAAGCCGCTGAAGGTATTTACAACCTTTAAGTTGTGACATTGATAAATGAGACTCCGTCAATGGTTTTTGCTTTTGTTTTATATATAGCACATCAAATTTTGCTGTGGCAACAGGTGGAGTGAAAACTGTTGCTGATCCTGAAAGTTATTGTACTTGTGTTAAAGTGACTGGGCTGCTGGTTGTACTGATCAGCTCTTTGCTTTGTTCAACCAGGAGAGCAAGAAGGGAACGAGGAAGACGAAAAGGCTGAGGAAGGTGACGATTTTGTATTTATAGTATTTAAGCAGACAAACTTGATGAAGTGAAGCATCTACTGTATGAGGCTGATTCAAAAGATGTGAAATCTTTATTTAAGTTGTTCTTGGACTTTTTTCATACAGTCCAAATTAGGGATGATCATTAAAATTTGGAGCCCAAAAAAAAATCTGTATTTTTGAAAAATCGAAGTGTGTTGGTAAATGAAGTTATCTAGCGCATTATCAAAACCTTTATAGCCTCATCCAGCTCATAATTTGACACGATACATGTTAACGAATCAAAAATTACACACTCAGCCATGTAAAAAAGCTGAAATAAATAACCCATATCTAAAATCAGAGCTGTAATTATTTTCCTTTATTTCAATGTGTTTTGTGTTTCAGTGTATTGATCCACTCAGGGTGTCATTTCAAATTCCACTGAGCCACAAAGCCACCAGAAAACAAACTCTACCAGTTCTTGAGTGTTGCGAGGCTTAAAACGAAGGCGTGGAGCTCTTTTTGTGCAAACTTTTAATTACTCTGGGGTGTAGTTTGATTTCAAGAACCAAACATTTTTTAAGAAAATCAATATATAACGTACAAATTCCTCCATTAGCGAAAACCTACAAGTAAAAATTATTTTAAAAAAATCGCAGCTGGTTTTATTGTAATTAATCTTAAAATGTGTGAACTTTCTAGAAAGGCCACAGTCAACTTAACACCATGTGACAACAAAAGATTTGTCACTCATATGTAATTACAACTTCTCCGTGTGCCAGCAGAGGCTGAACAGGAGGAAGACAAATCTGCTGCAGAGGAGTCTGATGAAGAACAAGGTGAGATTTATTTATTAAAGCAGGAACAATGCTGTCTTGTTGTCTCTGCTGATTGTTGGGGAGCTTGCCAGAGATTAACAAACAAGACAACATCCATGTCTGGTGTTGGCCATGTGTTGACAACTAAATGGTGATGACTAATGTTTCCACCCATAACCAACAGTTGCAGCAGACACAAAGATAATCTGTTGTTAAAGCTACATTTGGGTTTGGAATGTGACAGTCAGCAAGTCCTGAGAAGTCATACGGACGTTTACTTAGTCAAAACCAGACGGAGTAACTCGAGATTCATCTACAGGCCTTTAATCCCTCCCAGCCCCGAGGCTCTCAGTCATTAGTCAGACTCACTGTTTAGGTATCGGTCTTCTGCCTGTCACACCAAAATGAGTGGCTGAACCTTTCCCATCTTCATGCCTCATCCCTATCTTCACATCGGCAAGCGCCCTGTGAGGCATAGTTCTTGGATGGGTTCCATGTCAAACTGGTGAAAGTGACCTTTTGACTGTGCAAACAAACAATTACCGGCACTTCTGGAAAGTCATTTGACAGTAAATAATTCAGACGGCACTACGTATGACTGATTTAATGAGATACAAAAAGGGTCTAATCTGGAGTTTTTAGATAAAACTATTCTTTGGGGGATTATTTTCACAAGCTTTCACACATTTGGTACAACTTGTGAGTCAACTTAGCCACTTAGCTCCACCTAGCTGTTAATCCTTTTCAAAGAGGTAACTGTTGCTCCAGTCACTTTTACTAAGCATGAAATATTTTTTATATCATCTCGCTCAAGAAACTACTTCAGCATATTTTAGCCAAGTAACTTTGTAGCTCCTCAGTTGATTCACGACTCAAGAGGTTTGAACCTTTGAGAGAGAATATTATAGTATAATCCTAAAGTGGTGTAAACTGTATAAGAGCTAACAAAAAACTGTAAAGTACAATATGGGCTTTTTGGAACAATCAAACAACATCATTTGTTGAATTACTGATGGATTTCTTAGAATACCTTTCAGAGGTCACAGACGCCAAGCCTTTTTTGGCAACAGACCGCTTGACATCAAGACTTGTCCGTCTGGACAACGATGCTTATCAAAATGTATTTATGGCATGCAACACATGATGGAGCACTTTACTTCTGACAACTCAGATAAGAACGCAGTACAAATGTTTTTTTTGTGTGTGTGTTTGATGACCTTTCTGCTCCTAAAATTTAACAGAGGGTTGTTTTTTTTTTTTTTACCAAAGTGACCTCAACTATCACCAAGTTCACAAGCTTTATTATTTTGCTTTTAGGTGGAGAAGAAGAGGGAGAGGAGGGAGAAGGTAACACTGTTTAATAAAATGAATGCTGGCACGCCTTATACCTTATGAGTTTGTTTTTCTTGTTAGCCTTTTTCAACTCGTGCCAGATTTCGAAACAAGTGTATTTCCAGATAAATTAAATTTCCATCTATTGTCAAACCAGAGAGGGCCAATTGCCAAATCTTGGTTAGGCTTCCTGGTAAAATATAAAAATATTTTGTTGTCGTCTTGGTGAATAAGTGAGTTGGTTTTGTGTGGTTTGGAGTAGCTTATCTGTGTCTTCTATTTTTTTCTGTTTCAACAGAGGAGGCAAAACCAAAATTCAAGTAAGTAACACAAGTAAATGAAACACTGTTACACACAATTATTCACAGTGAGATTATAGAAGCTGAATGAAGTGTGGTTGGGAAAAGTCTAAAAAGACCATTAGGACCAATTATAAAGACTGATAGAGCACAAACTAAATTATGAAACAGGGTAAAATACTAAAATCATGAACGTGTCATCATTGATTTTTACATTGAACTTGATTGTTTAAAATCCCTTAGAGAGATCACACCTTCAAATCTTTTTCTAAGTTGTTCCAGTTTACAGGAGCAGAGTAAGAAAAGGCCTTTTTGCTGAGTTCAGTCCGCAACGAGGGGACGCTGCATGTAATGATGTCTTAAGAGTGCAGACTGTCGCTGCACTGATGAAGTGACATGTAGGAGGAGATATATGAAACAACCGACCATGGAGTGATTTAAAGATGAAAATGTACCAGTGTGAGAGTCTGCGTGAAGTTAATGATGACCAGTTAACCAGTGAATACAGGGTGCAGTGATGGGTACGGTAGTTACAACCATTTATGAATCTTAGCGTGCCATGATAGACAGTATCCAACATCTGCAAGGTGCTTGTAGGGGTGTTCATACAAATAATGTCACCATAGTCAATGGTTGGAAGGAAAGTAGCAGTTACAAGGTGTTTCCTAGCATTCAGAGTTAAACAGGATCTATTTCTGAAAAAGAAACCACATTTTAATTTCAATTTCTTTATCAAGTTTTCGACATGCAGCTTAAAAGAGAGATGTGCATTGACCAAGTTACCCAAGTATTTGTAAGAATTGACAAACTCAGTAGAAACACCATTCATAGATAAAATAGAAGGAAGGACTGCTGGGACCAACTTTCTGTTTGAAAACAACCTTTTGGTTTTATCAGCATTTAGAACCAGTTTGAGACGGAACAAGTCTGAATGGATGATGTCAAATGCAGACTGTAAAAGCTGGAAAACCTCAACAACTGATTTAGCTCGACAATAAACAACTGTATCATCAGATCAGCATAGAAATTTAAGTAAATGATAAATGGACTGTACATGTACTTATATAGCGCCTTTCTATCGTATCAAGACACTCATAGTGCTTTACACTACAACCTGTGCCCTGATTTACCCATTCATACAGCACTCTAGATCTCTACAAAGCTAATTAAACAAATCATTCTAAAGCGACTAATCAGGATGACCTACATTACTTATGCAGATTGTAAAGTGAGTGTGTCCTAAGATTGAGCCTTGTGGAATACCATTGTTGACATTAAATAACTGGAAGAAGTACCATTGTGTTGAACACATTTCCTCAGATCTAATCAAATGATGAATGTAGGAAGCACAGCTTTTCGTGCTGCAAAGTCCTCTTGTTTCAGGGACTAAAACTGTAAATTGTTGAAATGAAGTACAGTTTCATTTTAATACACAACCTAAAAACATTTATTTGCAAAAGCTTCTAAAAGAATCAAAAACATCAGCAAAGAATGAGTTTGAATTTTTTGTGTATGTGTGTGTGTGTGTGTGTGGGGGAGGGGGGGGGTCTGTCTGTCTTTAGGTTTTGTCCTCAGCAGACAAACTTTACTTTAATTTATTTCAACAAACCCTTTTCATTGTATGTTTTAAATTATTATGAGCTATTTCAAAGCAGTAGGAGTGAATCTGAGCAAACCACTGTGCACTCCAGAAGCAGTATTTATTTTTACAGCCCAAGTATAGGCCTGTTTCACCTAGCATATTTACTGTAATTTCATTTTTGTTGTCTTAAAGTTCTAATGAAAATGCTTGACTGATGGTCAACAGCAGACCTTCCCTCTCACTAGCAGACTGAAACAATGAGTAGCTCACACGTTTATGAACAAACATGTGACATGTTTAAAGATAATAATTAAAAAATAAATACTGAGACGATATCAGCCAGGAGTCCACATGGGCTATGACACTTGGAGATGACATTGTTATCTATACTGAGAGTAGAGAGCAGGTGGAAGAGAGTCTGTTGAGGTGGAGGTATGCTCTGAAGAAAATGTATTGAAAGGAAAACAGAACAAATGTGTGCACATGAGAGGGATACAGGTGGACAATGAAGGTTTAACAGTGTATACAGGTGAAATTCTGCAGTTACCTTCTATTTCCACTCTGAAGACTGAGGTTATGTAACATTAAAGGTTGTACTTTAGCAAAGTGAAAGGGAAAATACAGATATGGTGACTCCTGAAGAATCAGTCTGCTCAGGCCAGAACTTGTAAGAAATGCCTTTTATGATCTTCATTTTACACCATCTGTGATGTCATCTAACATTTCCTCTTGAGTTTGCATATTTTAGGCTCGACAGTTTTACTGTCAGGTGTTCACTCACTGATGTTGCTGCTTTATCTGATTTGTTTTAGGCCTTTTATCATGCCAAACCTTATCCCTCCCAAGATCCCAGATGGAGAGAAGGTGGATTTTGATGTAAGCGACACATTCACTCTTTCTGCCAAAGGGGGTGAATAGTTATTCAAAGCATCTCCAGACTGAAGAAATAAACCTCTAAGTGACTCAGTATTTATCAGAATTAGGGAATAATTGCATGCATGAGCTTTACTTTGATGATATATTGGTAAGATTCTATATTTAGTATCTATGATGTTGTGTTTCTGTAGGACATACATCGTAAGAGGATGGAGAAGGACCTGATGGAGCTTCAGACACTGATTGAAGTCCACTTTGAAAGCAGAAAGAAGGAAGAAGAAGACATCATTAGTCTCAAAGAAAGAATTGTGAGTGCATTATGTTATAAGTTGATATAAATCCTGTTTTCACACACAAAAATGAAGTGTAGATGTTTTATGACCAGATGTGATGATTTGTATTTCAGGAGAAACGCCGTTCAGAGCGAGCAGAACAGCACAGGATCCGCAGTGAGCGTGACAAAGAGCGTCAGAAGCGTCTTGAGGTAGAGTCCTGGTCTGCTTTTATCTACGCTTGTATAACTCAAGATTGAAGTCAGCCCAATTCATAAAGTCCATAACACGAAACAAACACAAAAAAGGTCTCTAACTCCAGTTAAGAATTTTGGATTCATTTAAGACTTTTTAAAGAAGTTTTTGTTTCATTTGAGTTCAGTGTTATAATTTTCAGCTAAAGGTAGAAACTAGAAGGTTTTACTTCTTTACAGGATAGTTATTTTATGTCCCAAAATGTAATATATCAGTCACCAACAGTTGGTGCTCAATAATCCAGGTTACAAATCCAACAATGTTCAGTCATTGTATGGGAACAATGGGTAATATAGCAATAAATGTTGAAATTCATTATTGATTACTAGTGTTGAAATGTCACCCCCACTGGTCAGAAAAGACCCCTCCAACTACCTCAAAGTGGCTCACGAGCCACCAGTTGATCATCCCAGTTATAACAGGCTTCGTGGCTCTGGGCTCTTTTTAATTTAATGAGTGAAGAGCCAGAAATGGCTCTTTGATCAAAAAGGTTGCACACCCCTGATTTAAGGGATCCCCAACTGGTTGGAACAATAGACCTTGTTTAATAATTACTTGCTTCAGCTTCAAATACAAGACTATAGTCAGTTTAGTTTGTACTATAATAATAAAAAAAGAATTTTACATTGATGCCACCATGTTGTTTATGCTGCAACATATTCTGGGTAAATATATATATATATATATATATATATATATATATATATATATATATA